CCCGCTTCTCCTGAGAACCCCCGCTGCTCGCCCGGCGTTGCCGCTTCACTCCCCGCGGCGAGACCCCAACATGGGGTTTCTCCTTCCCTTCTTTGTCCAGCTCCTCCTGCGCCGCCACCGCCCGTACTACGCGAACCGCTCCGACCTGCGCAGCCATTTCACCCACAAACACACATTTAAATGGCCCGACCGCCCCGGTTCGCGCAAGCGCCGCCCGCGCAGGGCCCGCTGGGCATTGGAGTCTCTCCCCCGCCCTCCGCTGATCCGTCCTTCTCATAGAGCTGAACATGCCGGAAACGGCAGTTCCGGCACCTCTCCGCAGACCTTGCCAACCGAGCTTCTATTGTAAAGCGCCCTGGACGCGCAAGGCCTTGTGGGTGTTGTAGTTCCACCGCCCGCCGCGTACCCCGCTCTCTGAGTGGAGAAGGAGAGTGGGAGCGTGCGCCCAAGCACGCATCGGGGTGCGACGCAACTGCCGCCGGTCGGCGAGTTGCCGCCAACCGCCCTAACGGCCCAAACAATGTTAATAGATTTCAGAGTCTGGCGGGACGTTCAGGCGCTCCTCTTCCCGTGTTCCTTCATCTTACCCGGAGTAGGTGGTCTCCATAGAGACTTTTCAATTTCGTATTTCTCTCATAGCCTTTGTGAGGTAAAAGAATCTCCAGCTTTTACCCTTAACGGGGGGTGGGGGTGGGGGGAATTTCGGAATATGTAAAATGACGGTTTTGCTGTAAAGTATAGCTGGACTTGCTATTCAGAAAAAAGAAAAGCATTTTCAGTGGCATTGCTGTGATTGCAGGTGCTAGGAGTGCCCCGGCTCAGCCCCACCTGCCAGAGTCACATTTCCCTCTATGCTTGGAAAGGTAGAGTCCAGCATTTATGTTGAACATATAACTTTTGTGTACGAAAATTCTCGATAAGAATTGTTTTAAATCTTTAATTTTTTTCAAGCCATAAATATAAATTTGCAAATGTAAAAAGCACTGTCAACCTGACACTTAAAAAATCGTCCCTGTTCGTCAGGAGATAGTGTTTACTCAGAAATTCATTTAGTAATTGGCTACAATGATATACTAGGCATATAAAAAGCACTATGGTGCCGGGCCTTGGTGGCGCACACCTTTAATCCCAACACTCGGAAGGCAGAGGCAGGTGGATCTCTGTGAGTTTGAGGCCAGCCTGGTCTCCAAAGCGAGTGCCAGGATAGGTTCCAAAGCTACACAGAGAAACCCTGTCTCGAAAGAAAAAAAAAAAGCACTATGGCTTAACACCACTAGTTCTCAGAGAAGTAATTTAGGTTGAGTGAACTTATGCAATAAAAGTTATAGTTTAGAGTTCTTAAACTCCTTCTGGGTATACATTGTACTACAATAAGTAACAATACCTTTCAATTTGCCCTAGCATTGGGTTTCCTAAAGAGAAGAATTAAAGCACAAATAACACTGTTGCTAGTTTGTATTTTCTTAAGTAAAAATATCAAGCCGGGCGTTGGTGGCACACGCCTTTAATCCCAGCACTTGGGAGGCAGAGGCTGGTGCATCTCTGTGAGTTCGAGACCAGCCTGGTCTACAAGAGCTAGTTCCAAGACAGCCTCCAAAGCCACAGAGAAACCCTGTCTCAAAAAACCAAAAAAAAAAAAGTAAGAATCCATAGTCACACAGAAATAACATTTTCAAACTACTGGTATCTTTAAAAGATTATACACACATTTATATAGGGCCTTTTCTATGAAGAAAACACTATCAAAAAAGAAAAAATAATTTTAAAGTGCTACCAAAAAGTAACTGCTGTTGATTATTTTCCTAGAACTGTACATGAATAACAGGTTAAAATTTGTGTGGAATATAGTTGACCAGTGTTATAGCAATGTAAAAATGGTCACTGCCATTATTTCTGTATCATTCTCTTTAATATTTCTTTTCCTCCTTTTCTACAACATTTGGGAAGACAGGGGAGGTATACTCCGTTTAGACAAAAATAACACTCTGGGAGCAGTCATTGCCATAAACAGTAATTCTGTACTGCAAACACAAGGCATGGGTTTTTTGTTTTGTTTTGTTTTTCTTTGTTTTTTAAATAAAACCTTTATTTGGTCGTGATGGAGCACACCTATAATGTCAGCATTCTGCAAGTTGAAATATAGGAGGATCATTAGTGTGAAGCCAGCCAGGAGCTGCATAGCAAGACCCTGTCTATTAAAAAAAAAAAAAGAGTTTAATATTAAGGCAATGTTGGATTTTAGTTGAAGGGGTGGAGAGTTTGCTCAGATGATTAAGAACACTAATGCTTTGCAAGGACCCTGGTTCAGTTCCCAGAACCCACACAGCAACTCACAACCTAGAATTCCAATTCAAAGGGATCCACCTCCCTCTTCTGGCCTCAGTGTGCACTACACATAGGTGGCATATAAAATACACATTAAAATATTTTAAGAGAAATTTAGTTAAGATCAAATTCTTACAAGCCTATTAAAATGAATGTTTATGCTGGGCTTGATTGTGTGCCTTTAATACCAGCCCTCCAGAAACGTATGGCAGGAGGATCACTGCAAAGATTCAAGACCAAATAGAAAGATACCATCTCAAAACGAAACTTTACAGAGAAAGTAAAAAAGAGGGACTGGTAAGGACCACTGGATGCTCTGCCAGACGACTCAGGTTCAAGGTTCAGCACCCACATGGCAGTTCATAATTTCCTATAACTCCAGTTTCAGGGTATCTGACAGCTTCACACAGACTTGCATGCAGGCAAAACATGAATGCACATAAAAAGTAAAATAGAATAACTTCCAAAATGAAAAATTTTGAAACATAAATTCAAGAGACAAACTTTATTGGTAGTTTCCAACTAAATGTAAAGAATATGAAATACAAGGTTGTTCAACATTTTTCACATATAGCTTTCCTTTTGAAAGCTATTGACACAATATACATTATTGATATTATTATAGCAGTATTCTAGTAGTTTTCTTTGCAGGCACATATGCAGCCAATATTCTTATAACTTCATCGGTGTATTAAATATTCCAAGTTGATGGTGGGTTCCTTGGTCCTTTGGGTTTTGAAAAACGATTCCCAAAACCTGAAGACAAAAATAAAACTGAATGAAAACAAGAAATAATACTTGGATTTTAAAATACAACATTGAAAAAGTTAAGTACCCTCTTTGAACAATTTAGTAATAGACTATAAATGCATTATCATAATTAAAGTTTAAATTAAATAGAATACCATTTTTGCTGTATTAGAGATCAAACTAATGTCCTTATATAAGCTAAGGCAAATATTCTGCCACTGGGCCATACCTCCAAACTAAATACTACTAATATTTAAATTTAGACCACTTACAGATTAACTAATGGTAATAATTGTATGAAGAACCATGAGTATAGTAGCCTTCAATAACTGAGTATATAACACCATTTATCTGTTTTAGTCATTCACCACTGACAGCAAAACAAATTTCACTTTTATAAAATTAAGCACTATGTGAATTTATATACATATGTATGTATATGTATATATATATATATAATTAAGCACTATTATTTATGTGAATTACCAAATCTTGTTCTTTATGTAGCCACTGAAATATTGTTTCCAAAACTTAGAAAATATAAAATAATGCTGAAATAGTTACTAAATAAGTTTTAATTACTTTTCTCTGAAATGCAACTCCCTTTCCTCCACAACAAAAGAAAAAGAAAAAATTTTCACATAAAATAAAGGCTATTACTGGGTGCTTTCAGAAAGAATTTCAGGCTGGTGAAATTTATTCTTTGTCACTGGAAATATATGTCTTTTTCTTTGATTGTGGTAGATTTTCAAAGCATCTCACACTTAGCAACTTTAGTGCCTTGACTTGAAAAATTAATGGTTTGAAACTTAGAGAACAGAAAATGAAAAACTCAAAGATATCCCTAATACTTTAATTTCATCACCTTTCCTAGTAACTGTTTACGTATATGACTAAATTTAAGTCTAAAAACAAAACTAGAGTAGGCCAGCTATAGTGGCAACTGCCTATAATCCAAGCACACAGGAGGTTAAGATAGGAGGTTCGTAGTTTCAAGGTCAGCCTGGCATACATAGCAAGGTGTGAGAGCACACACACACACACAAACACACACACACACACACACACACACACACACACCTCTCTCTATGCCAGAACTGAAAGAAACCTTTATTTATCAACTAGTGATTTTAGTTGGGAGAGGTGTACAGAGCCTATTTCATATACATTTTACTTGACTGATAATAATAATAAGGAATAATATTGAGATTAAATAGTTACACATTAAAACACAGGCACCATAGCTATAGCCCAGTACACCGGGAAGAGAGGCAAGGATATAATATGTGACTACTTAGAACAACTAAAATTTCAGATGCCCTATATTTGATGTGATCCACTAGCCAATTCTTAATACTTTGGAATAGCTTTACAATACTATTTTCTGCATATGGGTCAATTCAAGAAAAGTAAACCTGAACCACATGCTGGTTTTTTTGTTTTTTCAACATAGGAAACAAAACTGAGATAGAATTTCCTTATGCAAGTCCAGCCTGGCCCCCAAGTCATGATCCTTCTGTATTGGCCTTCCATGTGCTGGGATTACAGGTATGCATAATCAGAGCAATTTAAATATTTTCAAGTAACACACTCTTACAATTTATATTGCCACTATTAAAGGAAACAAAGACAGGTAAGCAGTGCTTTCAAGTACACAAACTGTTGCAATCTAGGCATGTTTGAGAAGAAGCAACATGGATGCAGATAAGATTTTTATCCCAGAGTCACAGCAATGTAAAGTCAGATGGTCTGTTCATCACTCGGGTGATTTAGAGGGAGAAAAGGGAGCAGAAACTTTTGTAATTGAGGCAAAGTTGCATTTTTTTCATAGTTCAGTGTTCCATATGAATGTTTTTAGCTAATTTCATACAAATCTTTTTCTAAAATTTATTTATTCATGAATTTTATGTGTATGAGTGCTCTGTCTCCATGCACACCAGAAGAAGGAATCTGATCCCATTACAGATGGTTGTGAGCCACCTGTGGTTGCTGGGAATTGAACTCAGGTCCTCTGGAAGAGCAGTCAAGTGCTCTTAACCACTGAGCCATATCTCCAGCCCCATTCATACAAATCTTAACTTTTAAATTGTAACAACTGAAGCACTGAGTTAATGAATTGTAAACCAAATTTTATAGCTAAAGAAATAGGGCATTTCTAATAAATATTTTCTTAAATGAGACAAGGGCTGCTCCCTCATTTTCTGCTCTTCCTCCAAAATAAAATTATATTTGGGAAATTGTATGTCTGCCTAGCAGCATTACTGAAAGGTTCAGGCTTTAATGCTGATCGGCTCTACCTCTTTAAGAGACAGACCCTGCCCCCTGACATCAGTCAGGGCATGCATGTGCCATCATCACCACATCACTCACCAAGCACATTCCGCCTGCGTGAGGACTCTGGGCATGCGTGGAACCTCCGTGAGCATACACAGTCTTCCCTTTAAAAGTTCCACCTTCCCTGCTTCGCTCTCTCTCTGCTTCTTCTTTGCTCTACTCTCTACTCTTCTCTCTCTGTTTGATTCCTCTCTCTCTCTCTCTCTCTCTCTCTCTCTCTCTCTCTCTCTCTCCTCTCTCTCTGGCGACTGGCCAAGGCAGTCAGCCATTAACTCTGTTTCTCTTCTCTCTTAGCCTCCCTACTCTGTCGGGCCTAATAATAAACTAGTTAATATGTCTCATCTTGCTCTTCTTCTTCTTCTTTATCTTTAATTTAAACAAAAACATAACAATTACACTTTCTGATTTTCCTATAATTTTTAAAATTTATTTTGTGTGCATTGGTGATTTGCCTCCATCTATCTGTGTCTTGCACTATGTGCTTGCAGTGCCTGCATCTGCTCCTCTGGCACTGGAGTTAGAGACAGTTGTCAACCACTGTATGAGTGCTTAGAATTGAACCTGGACTCTCTACAAGTATGTAGTAATCTTAATCACTGAGCCTCTCTCCAGCCCGAATTTATATACAGATTTAATTCTGCTATAAAATAATACACATACCAAAATTCAGAAAGGAGCTGGAATTTTTTGGCTGAACACATTCTGCAGGCTTGCTTGATGGAGAAGAATTACAAACACCTGTAATCAGAAGAAAACTGTGTTGGGTAAAGAATAACAACAGATTTAGATTACCATTTATTTGCTTGCATGATTATTGAAATTAAACATTTCCTCCCAAACAATACTCCAAAATAAATGTATCAGTATCTTATTACTCATGTTCAAAATGGTTGAAATTATATTTTTATATTCTAAGTATGACAGGGAGGGGGAAAATGTTCAGTCTGTAGGCCTGAACTCACTGTGTATCCAAAGCTGGCTGTGAACTTGTGATATTCCTCCTGCCTCAGCATCCTAACTACTAGGGTTACAGGGCAGAATAGCCATGCCACGCAAGATTTATTTTCTTTGCAAATAGATTATGTAACAAGACACAAAAGCAAAGAAAATTGTCAAAGGAATAGTGTTGTGGTAAAGGTGTGTTATATTTGTTTATGCTGCATTTGTTTTTTTAGGTAAAAATATGTTGCTGTCTCACTTTTCCTGCCTAAGGCACCTGATTGCTCTAACAAAAAGCTGAATGGTCAATAGCTAGGCAGTAGAGGAATTAGCAGGGCTGGCATGTGGAGAGAGAAGTAGAAAGAGAAATCTCAGCCCAAGGAACCAAAGAGAAGAAAGAATGAAGAGAAAGAGGGGGAGATGCTTGGGCCAGAAGCCAAGCAGCTGCCAACCAGTCAGACATGGAGGAAATAGGAAAGTAAGATATACAGAATGAAAGAAGGGTAAAAAGCCCCCAAGATAAAATGTAGATAAAGAGAAACAGATTAAAACAAGAGCTAAGATAAGGCTGAACATTCATAACTAATAACAAGTCTCTGTCATAGTTTGGAAGCTGGTTGGTGACCCAAAAGAAAATCCACTACTTTACGATTCACATTTGGCTTTGGAGTTTATCTTTGTCCTCTGATCAGTCATAATATGCTTTCCACATCTCATATTAAATCATCTATGGCAAGCTGAGGTTTTTCTTACATTGTCCTATTCTCCTAAATCTTTCTTCACTTTCCAGCAATTTTTTTCTCATAGATAATTCTAAATTAGGGCCCATAGTCTCCCAAAGGCATTGTTATGTTGCTTGTTTTGCTGTTGTATTTACTATGTGTAGGTCTAAAAATGTGTGTGTTTCTAACACATTAATATGAGCATATTATCAGTTTCTCCCAAATTTTAAAAGGAATTATGTAAAACTGGATCTACATTTTACATATGCATGGTCTTATGAAAGATTTCTCAGGTTTATGTAAACTTTCTTAAAAATGTTATAAGTAAGGAGAAATTACTGCACACTTTTGTTTTTAACATTTCAAAATGCAATGTGAGAACTGCATAAATGTGTTTACACATGCATATGTAATATTAGGCTTCTTTCCTGGAGGATCCTTGATTATTAATCACTGGAATACAAAGTAGATTTCAGTCATTCCAATTAAGTGCATACTTCTCAATACTGTGTGTCAAGAGCTCGGCTAGGAACTGAGCATAGACAGGAACACATTGGATGAAGATAGGGATGTACAAGGATATCAATAATCTCTACATTCAAACTGAGAGAATATATTTGTCCCAAAGAATACTGTTTCTTTTTTCTTTTCTTTCTCTTTTCTTCCTTTTTTTTCTTTTTCTTTTCTTCTTTTCTTTAAACAAAGGCAGCAAAGATTCGGCAAATGTATACTATAGGGAACTGATATTTTACCTATCAGTTTGTCTCAAGTCATTTTTATGCTACCTGCTCAACATGTATTCTCCAAGTAAAACAGCTTAATTTTTTCCCTTTACATCCTCCCCAATTTTCAGTTTTCACACATCAGGTGGAACTATTTCTACTTCTAGAAGAATGAAATGGCTAATAACTTGGGCTGACTTCCATTATTGGTACATTGGCATAGTCACACCAGATGTTTAGGTCTGATCTCATTACTAAGTAATCAGCGACCACATGAACTATGTGGCTAAATATAAGACACATTATCCTGCCTAATATGAATGTTAATATACTATTAACAATTGATTCAGGCAGGGGCAAAAGAACCAGGCCATCATCAGGCCAGTTTACACTAGTCATCAGACTGTTGCTTAAGCAACCAGGAAGAAGCTAATTTTTTTCCATCAGAAGCCTGAAACCACATGGTAAAGAAATCTGCCTATGAGTAAGCTTGTAAAACGAAACAAAGCTGGGGCTAGAGAGATGGCTCATTCAGTAAAGTACTTGCTCAGCAAGCATGTGACACTGAGTTCAGATATCCAGCACCCAAGTAAAAAACAAGGCATGGCAGGCATGTCCCTATAATCGCAGCATGGGGGAAATGAAGATATCAGGTTCCCTGGAACTTGCTGACCAGATATAATAGCCAATTGATAAACTGTCAGTTCAGTGAAAGACCCTGTCTTAAAAAATAAGGTAGATACAGTATTGAGGACAATGCCTGACATCAACCTCAGACCACATGTGTGCACACAGGCATACACAGACACACACACACACAGACACACACACACACACACACACACACACACACACACACACACACACACACACACACACACACACTAATGACACAAAATAATATGGAATGAGAGGTTAACTACTTTATGAATTATTTGAATTCTTAGTTACAAGACAGTGTTCTCTTATGCTCCAGTTAGCCTAAATTGGACATTCTGTCACTTGCAACTATAGTATTTCTGAGCAACTAAAGTGTCTTATGAGGGCTCATCTGGTAAAGGAATTTGCTGTATTAATTTGAGGACCTGAGCTTGTTCCCTGGAACTCATATGAAGGTAGAAGGGGAAAACCAGCTTTACAAAGTTGTCCCCTGACCTCCATACACAAGTAGAGGCATGTACCCATCCCCATTATACAAATGCTCACACGTGTGCATACACACACACACACACACACACACACACACACACACACACACACACACAGACAGAGCAAAATTTACTTGAATTTTTTTCTTCTAAAAGTGGGAAATGGCATCATGATTAGCAACTTCCATTCTTGTCACCAGTAATCCATTCTCTATACAGCAACCAGAATAAAAACAGTGGGTAACATCCCTGTCTAAAGCTCTCTTAAAGTGTCTCATCTCACTTAAAATAAACTCTTATTAGCAAGACCAATAAGAATGTAACTACTCTCCCATATTTCCAGCTTTACTTTGCTGCAGTAAAATATTAGTTTAAGATGTGTTACATTTGCTTATGCTATGGAATATTTGTTTAATGATGCAATGATGTGTTGTATTCCTTTATGCTGCATTGGTTTAACTCTGTGAGGCTGTTGTTACTTTGCCTGTCTGAAACACCTGATTGGTCTGATAAAGAGCTGAATGATCAATAGCTAGGCAGGAGAGAGAATAGGTGGGGCTGGCAACCAGAGAGAATAAATAGGAGAAAAAGAGAAGGGGAAAATACTCCAGGGACCAGATATCCAGCTACACAGCAAGTCACAGAGTAAGAAGTAAAGAAAGGTATATAGAAAGGTAAAAGTCCAGAGGCAAAAGAGAGACGAGATAATTAAAGAAAAGCTGTCAAGAACAAGCCAAGCTAAGGCTGGGCAATCATTAGAAAGAATATGACTTTGTGATTTATTTGGGATATGGGTGGCAGGCCCCCCAAAGAACAAAGAGTGATAACTAACTATACTATACTTTTTTTAAAAAATTCTCTCACAATTACTCTTGTTTTCTTTAATAGCATCTATCACAATGTTATTATTTATGTGCTTGGGAACTCACTTGCTTAATTTCTGAATTTCTCACTTAAGTTGTACAAAACCTGAAGAGCCAGTAATATTTTTGTTGACCACCATATACCAGGTGCCTTCCACAATGTCTGACACATAGTAGACATTCAACAAATATTCATAGAAATAAATAAAAAAGCAGACAGGAATGCTAGTCAAAATAGCAGATAAAAATGCTATTTTCATTAAAAAACTTAACTGCAGACAACTAAGAGATCCAGATTGGGAAAGAACATAGGGAATTCTTGGGTTCTGAGCATCTGGAATGGATAGAGGACAGGAACACAAGTCTAAATTAGTGCAGGTCAGTCTCCAGGGTCAGTCTGAGGGTTTGATACTGTTCTTAGCAGCCAAAGAATATAGAATCAAAGTACTGAAAAGCAGAAATACAGTCTAGCCTATATTTAGAGGATGCCCTGAAAAAGCTCAGTCTCCCACCATATCCCAAAGATCTGCTAACATAAATCTACCTGAAGTTATTGTTTTTTTTTATATCTACCCCCAAATATTCTTGTATCTTGAGAAAGAAAATTGAGTGTTTCCTAAACACGCCGATCAAACAAAACTTTGGCTGACTATCCATGTCAGTCACTGGTTTGTTTTTTGTCCACTTAATTTTCCTGGTTACTATAATTTCCTTTTGACTAATTCTAGAGGGAAAGGCATAATTCCCAACCAGACTTTAGCTATAATGGATAAAAGATTATTTCAGAGATCAGGTATGATGGTAATGATGGCAGACTATTGAGAATCTGAACTTTATGAATGTAAAAATTAAGGACAAGCCTAAAAGGGTAAAGTAGCACTCAACTATCCACCTGAAATTTGCTTTCCAAAAGTTTCCTCCCTATTGTACCAATATATTTAAGTCCTTTCTAACTAACCAAGTGGATCAAATCTCTGACCTTGTAATTGTAAATAAAGTGTCTAAGAGAATTTCCAAAAGTTTAAAGAGCTCATGGGCTTTGATTTTCATTACAATACAACAAAATAGTAAGCAACAGACTTTTACTGCTGGTAATGCATGTAAAAATGGAAATGTGTCAATGATTTGTTTGTTTCATTAAATCAACACATTTGTTTCACAATATACTTTGCTGTTACTGTGTTCAAAGAAAATATATCTAAGGTTAGACTGCTAGGAGTTTTAAATAACATATTAATATCTTAGCATCTTGGTATGGGTAGAAAATTCCAAACAATGTATTAATTATAACTCTATCTGTAAACAGAAACCCCTTCCCGACATTAGCCTGGTAGAGCCCAGCAAAGTCAAGGTCTAGGTGATCACTCTGACCCACAGGTCCCTATTCTGTTTGGGAATGATAGTGTAGACTTTTTTCATAGGGTGATTATACCAAAAACTGTGAATTTTAAAAGTTCTAGATACATTCTAAAAAAATAAGTACAAATGAACTTACTTTTTTTCATATTTCGGAAAATCTTTAAACTCTATAAAAGTGAAGAAAGGGGGAAAATTAATATTTTCCTAATAAAGTTCAAAATGCTTTAGTCAACTATAAATACAGACTTAACAGGATTCGTTTCCTTAATAATAACCTTGAAAACTGCAATTTTTTTCATCTTGCATCTTAATTCACTACAAAATTACCACTAGATTCTATCTTGTTATTTTACCATATGTATCATAGTACATATCTAGAAACAATGCTGTCAAAATGCCAGGGGTAAAGATGACAGGCTGTCTCTCCCTTGACTGGGGATATTCCAGAACTGACAACAGCCTCTGAGGGTTGTTTGCTTTTCAATCATGTACTTTTTGACCATTTTTACTTTATACTTACGGATTTCTAGCAATTTATCACATATTAAACAAATACCCTCTGACTATGGTACCAGTTGCAGGCATTTTTCTCTCCAATTTTGGTCTTCATGTTTGATTTTTTTTAATCGACTTTCCTTCACTATGCAGAAATTTTCTGTTTCATTTAGTGGAATGTGTATCTTTTTCCTTACTGCCTTTGGATTGTTATAGTTACAAAGGCCACTTATACTCCAGAGTTACCAAAAGTACTCTTGTAACTTAGGATTTTTTAAATAGTTATTGTTGAATCCTTTGTGGATATTGTTTTTCATTTTTAGATTTAAAATTATTTTAGATTTATTTCTTTTATGTATATAGATGTTTTGCCTGCACGCATATCTATGCACCATGTACATGTCTGGTGCCCAAGGAGACCATAAGAGGGCATCAGATTCTCTGAAACTGGAGTTAAAGACAGTTACCCCATGCTGGTGCTGGGAATTGAACTCAGGTCCTCTGGAAGAGCAGTCGGTGCTCTTAATCTCTGAGTATCTCTCCAGCCCCTGTTTAGTACTTTTATGTATATGTATACATTTTAAGTCTTTTAACTATGTAAACTTTATCCTGATGTCAATATGAATCGTAGATCCTGAATTTTTCTACATTATTACTTTAATTCTACATTTTTTTTAAAAAATTATCTTCTTGATTTCTTTTTTTTAAAGATTTTATTTATTTATTATGTATACGACATTCTGCTTCTATGTATATCTGCACATCAGAAGAGGGCACCAGGTCTCATAACGGATGGTTGTGAGCCACCATGTGGTTGCTGGGAATTTAACTCAGGACCTCTGGAAGAGCAGTCAGTGCTCTTAACTTCTGAGCCATCTCTCCAGCCCTCTACATTATTTTCTACATTACTTATTTAGATCAACAACATTTTTGAGACATGGTCTTATGTATCCCAGCCTTGAACTTCTGATCCTCCTGCAACTACCTCCCAAATATTGGGATTTGGATATTACAGACATGCACCACCCTGAGTCAGACTCCAGGCTTCAGGCATGGTTTAGGCAAGCAGTCTACTAACTGATCTACGTTATCAACCCACTAACATCTATGAAACCATCCTTATCTCTTGATTTGAGACACACCATAATGTACTAAATCCCTACACATGCGGACCGATTCCTGAACTTTCCCTATAGATAATGCGTTGATTTTAATAAACTAACATGTCACTGTAATTATTCTCATTCTTTGCATAGTTTTGCTTTCTATTAATTTTGACTCTGTGAGATCAAAACTCAGTTTAATGAAGATGCTTAATGTAATTTTCAATCTTAATTCTGTGGAGGGAAAATCTGTAGTAAGGGAAAATATGCTATGTTTTCTATATATCTAGACTTACTTTGCTCCTTGTGAAACTTTTCCCAGGGGTCTTCAATGTTTGTTTGGAAGATATTGAGTTCTCTGTGGTTTCAGGATAGCTAGTAGAGTAAGTTTCTATGGGTTTGGCCTGTAAACCTTAACAAAAAAGAAAAAGGTAAGAAATAAAAATGTTTTGTTGTATAGTTTCTTAAGCCTATGTTTTAAACATAGGTGTATATTCAGGCTTGACCTATGTGTTTTGCCTTCTTAGGTATCATTTTTATTATACATTGTAGGCTTTAAAAATTATTCTTTTATTTAATCATTCTTTATAACTTTTCATGTAGGAGTTACTATATTTAACTTTGTTGTTTTTGTTTTTGTTTTTTTTTTAAGACAGAGTCTCACTGTGTAGCTCTGGCTGGCCTGTAACTCACAGAGATCTACCTCCGCCTCCTAGTATACCACCGTGCCCAGCCTTGTCTATGTTTTTATGAAATAGGGTCTCAGACAGTTTAGACTGTCCATAAACAATGTGGCTAGGGATGATCTTGAACTACTGATCCTCGCCTTCACCTCTCAAGTGCTGAGATTACAGGAATGCACTTCCATGGTTGTCATATTTTAAACCTTTTAACATTTAATTTTACAACTTTTTTGGTAAGTATTGCCAACTTACAGTCTTCATCAGCAAGAAAGAAGGACTCCAGAGTTCTTTCTGGGAGTGGAGGTGGAGGAGAACCATCCTGATGTAGATCTGTAAAAAGTAAAGTATATAGCAAAGCAAAGAAATCCACTAATTAAAAGTCAGGTCAGAACACGTATGTGTCTGTGTAATTTTTGCTGTTAGTTCAGTTTAACCTGCAACCACTGTCTTAGTTACTTTTCCCGTTGCTGAGACAACACACCCTGACAAGAGCAATTTAAGGAAATGGGTGTATGTTGACTCAGAGACCCAGAGTATATAAAATCATGGCAGAGAAGTCCGGGTGGCAGGGCTCAAGCTCAGCTGGTCACATTGCACACATGGTCAGAAAGTAGGGAGTGATGAATGCTGGTTCTACTCAACCAGAGTTCTTCTTATTCAGTCCAGGACCCAACCCCAAGGAATGATGCTAACCACTCCTGGGGTGGGTCTTCCCACCTCAACCTAATCAAGATAGTTCCTCACAGTTATGTCTAAAAGCTAGCTGAATCAAAAGAAACTCTCACAGGTGTGCCTGGAGGCTTGCCTCCTAGAGGATTGCCAATTCTTTGAAAACACCAATAAGGGTCTGAACAAAGGGTTACAGGTGTGTGCCACTATGTCCAACTGGCACAAAGATTTAAACATTGTTGCCTTCCAGAGTCTCTATCTCCCAGGGTGGACATAACAACAGGGAGATGAACTGTCACACAATGTAAAAGGAATTATCTGAACAATGACCAGAGCCCTTCTACTTTGTTGACCAAGGAGCCCATGATTCATCAAAAACTTAAGAGTCCACTTAGGGATGTATTCTTCCAAAGAAATTGGGAATGGATTTTACCAAGATTCTCGATCTAATTTATTTTACTGAAAATTTTAGAGGATAAAGGAACATGTTAAATTAGTCATGAGAATACAATTCATTAAATTTATAATTGTCCTTTAGGATCAGTAATCCATTCTCTTCAGCATATGAACAGTGTTAGAAATTGCAAAAAAAGGAAGAAATGTTAGATATTAAAAGAAATAAATGCAATATGTAGATTTTTGACTCCAGATTCAAGTATGCCAACTATAAGCTATTAAAAAAAAAGCAACACTTTTTTTTTGAGACAGGGTTTTACTATGTATCCCTAGTTGTCCTGGAGTACACCATGTAGACCAGGCTGTCCTGAACTCTCCTGCCTCTGCCTTCCAAGTGCTGGGGTCAAAGGTGTGTGCCACCATTGACATGTCAGGCTGAAAAGGCATTTCTGAGACAGTTGGAGAAAAACAATGTAGTCTGAAAATCAGATACCACTAGAGGACTGCTTACCAATGTAATGATTCTACATTGGTAAGAATGCTAGAAACAAGGTACATGTTTGAAATTTTTCGCAATTTTAAATAATGACTAATTTTCCCAAAATGTAAACACCTAAAATACAAAATGTTCTAATGATTCTAGTAACATAAATTTCTTATCATACAGTGCTAAGTATTGTTACACAGTTATTAGTACATTTTGACCTGTCATTAGACTGTGTGTGTGTGTGTGAGTGCATGCTTGTGTGTAGGCATGTGCATGAGTATCATACTGTACATGTAGCAGAAGACAGCTTTTCTGAAGTTGTCTTCCCACCTTGTGAAGACAAAATTTGTTTCTACTGAGCTTGACACTCCAGGCTTACCTGCCTTCAAGCTTTGAGGTAATTCTCCTATCTCTACCTCTCATCTCATTCCAGGTGTGCTAGGATTGTAGCTGTGGTATTACCACATCTGTATTTTTAAATGTTAACATGTATCTGGCGGGTTGGGCACACATACTATAGTGTGAGTGTAGTAATCAGAGGATAACTTGTGGAAGTCAGTTCTCTTACAGCGTTCATCCAACTCAAATTGTCATGCTTGGTGGCAAGAGGCCTTACCATGGCCATTTCCACAGATATGTCCATATATTTATGTGGGTTACAGGGATTGAACTCAGGTCATCAACCTTGCAAGGCAAGCACTTTTATCTTCTGAGCCATCTCATCTCTGGTCATAGGATTTTTTTTTTTTTTTTGGTTTTTCCAGACAGGGTTTCTCTGTTTAGCTTTGAAACCTATCCTGGCACTTGCTCTGGAGACTAGGCTGGCCTCAAACAGTTTTCTGTTAGTGAATATTCTGAGGAGTAAAATTGTTAGCAATATCTTGGTGGATGTTTTCCTGAGATACCATTTTAGCTTAAGAGTCCCCAGAGGAAGAATCCACAATGTTATTATTTTCTGCATTAAGTCTGTGTTCCTCTGCCTACCTTAGGGTGTCTGGTAAAATACACATAAGATTTGTTATCAGTAACAGCGCATTCATAGTACTGTATAGTCATAACCATTGTCTAATTCCAGAACAGTTTTCATCACCATGAAAGGAAACACGACACACATTAATATCTCCCTACTCCCATTTTGCCTATCCCTGGGAACCACTAATTTGCTTGCTTGCTTGCTTTTTCCCGAGGAAGGAGTATTTTGGCTCATGATTTCAGAGTCCGTTCCATCATGCTAAATCATAACAACAAAAGCTTGAGACAATTAGAGAGTAAATTGCAGGCACAGCTATGCTGACTTGAAAGATGAAGTTCTCCCCGCCTTCTGGCTCTGGTAGGTTCTACACCATGTGTAAGAGGGGAGAATCTCTGCAGCCTCAGTTTTCTTAAGAGTTCTCTGGTCCAGACAGAGTAGGAGGCCTGGCCCTGGGGTGCTCTGTGAAAGTCTTGGTCCTAAGATGTTTAGTAAGCCAGATGGTAGCCAAGACCCACCAGCTCACTGTCTTTATGGATTTCTGGATATCCCCTCTGTCTAGCTTCAAAACCTTGCTACACTCTATTTACCTAACTTTATCTTCTGTATTTTACAAAGTTGAACCTCTATTGCAAAGACCACAACCTAGTCACCAGCAGGGGGAGTAGCTCAGTGGTAAAACACTTGCCTAACGTATAAGGATGAGGCCCTGAATTTGACCTCAGCACTATAAAATAAAATATCATGCTCCTTTGAGTTTTCTTAGGCTTGTCATTACTTCTGTAATTCTGTTTTCCCTAACCACTCCAGTAATATCATCCTATTTTTCTAGAATCCTGCTGATTATAATTAGTGCCACATAGATAATCAATGATTCCACATAGGTATTAATTTTATCTACCCATTTTCAATATAAGCATTAAGTAGTACTTTTTAGCTGGACATTGTGGTGCACACTTGTGATTCCAGCACTTGGGAGGCTAAGGCAGGAGGATAGAAAGTTTAAGGCTAGCCTGAGCTACTACTGCATGGCTAAACTTGTCTCAAAAAAAAACAGGGTATTTTTTTCCTACATATTCTGCCTGTCCTAACACTTGGCAGATATTTAATGAGGGCTATTTGGTGACACTGTGCTAAAAGCTTTAAAGTGTGTTATCTCAATTCACACACACACACACACAAATCAACTACATTTTACAAATGAGAAAATTGATAATTTAAAGAATGAGTGGTTTGCCTGTGTTTGAGTGAGTAGGCTCATATTTGCAAGCTTAGTCCCCAACTGATGGACTGTTTGGATGGATTAGGAGGTGTGGCTTTGTTAGAGGTAGTGAGTCACTAGGGCTGGGCTTCATGCCCAGACCAGTGAGTCTCTCTCTCTCTCTCTCTCTCTCTCTCTCTCTCTCTCTCTCTCTCTCTCTCTCTCTCTCTCTCTCTCCCTCTCTCGCTTTCTCTCTCCTTGTCTCTCTTGTCTCTCTGTCTCTGTCTCTCTCTCTCTGACTGCTGCCTATGGACCAGGATGTAGCTCTCAGCTACTGCTCTAGCACCATGGTGTCTCCATGCTCACACCATCATAACAGATTAACCCTCCGAAACTATAAACACTATAAATACTTTCTTGTATGAGTTGCTTGGTTGGCGTCACTTCACAGAAAGAACAGTGACAGCCTGCATGTATGTATGTATAACACATGTGTGCCTGGTACCTACAAAGATCAAAGCGGGCACCAGATCCCCTGAAACTGGAGTTATGGGTGATTATGAGCCACCATGTGAGTGATGAGAACCAAACCTGGGTTCTCCAAAGGAGCAGCCAGTACCCTCACCCACTAAGCCATCAATCTCTCTAGCCCCAAACACATGTATTTTTGTTTTGTTTTACTGAGACAGGTCCTTTCTCTATAACCGATGGTAGCCTTGAACTTTTGGCAATTCTGCTGCAGCTCCCCAAATGCTAGGGTGGTAGATGTGAGCCACCATGCCTGTCTCAGAAAGTATGTTGTTAGTTTTTGTTTTGTTGTTTTTACTTTTTGAGACTGAGATTTACTATATAGCCCTTATGGCTTGGAATTTGCAATATAGGCCATGTTATATTTGAACGGACAGAGATTTGCTTGACTTCACCTCCTAAGTGCTAAGATTAAAGGCATGTATCATCATTCCCAGCCCTCAGAAAGTATATTCTTTAAGGTTATATATTTTGGCAATTTTTAGTATACTGGTGCTTTTTAATATCCAAATTATGCTACCTATATATATTTGAGTAATATCCTAATATGAATAAATATGCTAAAGACAACTGCAACCTATGCTAATGTTTGCAAAGTACCTATGCATTCCCAGTAGATGTTACCCAGGTGTTTTTCATATATAATGTAAGCAAAACACAGGAAAAAGAAGAGTAATAACAAGTTTTTAAAAAGTGGGTTCAGTTAAGAGCACTGATTGCTCTTCCAGAGGATATACGTTCAATTCCTAGTACCTGTATGGTACCTTACAACCACCTATAATTCCATATTCAGGGGCTCCAACATTCACTTCTGGCTTCTTGAGTGCTCCACATATATGGTACACAGACATAAATTCAGGCAAAACATCCACATACAAAATAAATTGAAAAAATGTATTGAGTGATCAGAAATAACTGTTTAGGATCACTCTGTTAACAGCAGTATAATCTATGAACTGAAAATTTTATTAGTTTTTTTATTAAATTTCTTTTTAAAGATTTTTTTATTTATGTATTTTATGTGTATGAGTGCTCTGTCTGCATACATGCTTGTATGCCAGAAGAGGGCATTGCATCTCGTTATAGATGGTTGTGAGAAGCCAAAATAGCATGTGGTTGCTGGGAATTGAACTCAGGACCTCTAAAAGAGCAACTAGTGCTCTTAACTGGTAAGCCATCTCTCCAGCCCATGTTTTTCCAAGACAGGCTTTTTCTGTATAATAGCACCAGCTGTCCTGGAACTTGCTCTGCAGACCAGGATAGCCTCAAACTTAGAGAGATCCTCTTGCCCCTGCCTTCCAAGTGCTGGGATTAAGGATATTCACCACTATGCCTGGCTTACTAAATTTCTTTTAATATAAATTATATAAAACATCAAAATTGAACATATGAGATTCCATATGATATTTTAATACTTGAATAATTATATAATATATCAAGTTAAACATGTCTACTCAGACATTTATTATCTATAGTAAAAAAATTAGAAGTCCTTTTTGCTAATCTTTAGAAATGAATAGCGTTTAATTTTCAGTAGTCACTAAGTTATGCAACAACATACTAGACCTCCTTACTCCTACAAGCAACTTAGTGCCCACTCAGGTCCTCTGGAAGAGCAGTCGGTGCTCTTAATCTCTGAGTATCTGTCCAGGTCCTGTTTAGTAGTTTTATGTATATGCATACATTTTAAGTCTTTTAACTATGTAAACTTTATCCTGATGTCAATATGAATCGTAGATCCTGAATTTTTTCTACATTATTACTTTAATTCTACATTTTTTTAAAAAATTGTCTTCTTGATTTCTTTTTTAAAAGATTTTATTTATTTATTATGTATACAACATTCTGCTTCCATGTATATCTGCACATCAGAAGAGGGCACAAGAGAGGACAATGGATGGTTGTGAGCCACCATGTGGTTGCTGGAAATTGAACTCAGGACCTTTGGAAGAGCAGTCAGTGCTCTTAACCTCTGAGCCATCTCTCCAGCCCCGACCCTGAATATCTTTATCTCTGTTAGCCACAGGTATGTCTTCTTTTGAGAAATATATATTTAGATCTACTACCAATTTTTAAATCAGGTGTGTGTGTGTGTGTGTGTGTGTGTGTGTGTGTGTGTGTGTGTATCCAAAATATCCTATTCAGACAGGATTTTTTAAAAAATTTGAGTCACTAAGGCTGGACATGGTGCTGCACACCTTTAATCCTAGCACTCAGAAGGCTAGGCAGGCAAATCTCTGAGTTTGAGGTCAGCCTGGTCTACAGAGCAAGTTCCAGGACAGCCATGGCTACATAGAGAAACCCTGTCTTGAAAGCATCAAAAGATTAATAAAAATTTCAATCATTAATGTTGAATGCTGCTGTATTTATCAGATACATAATAAACGAAGGTTTCCTAAGTTAAAGGCAAAGACTGTTGCCTTTGCTGCATGAGGCCTTTTATTTGGTATAATTCTACTTGTCTATTCTTGGTTTTGTTTCCTTAGTATTTTTTTATTTCCTCTTCAAAAGAGTCTTTGCCCATTCCAAAGTCCTGAAGTTTCTGCTAATCATTTCATAGTTTCAGAGTCTTATACTTAAGTATTTAGTAGATGTTGAGTTATTTTTGGTAACCTATGAGAGATAGGAGTCCACCCTTATTATACATGTGGACACCCAATTTTCACAGAATCATTTATCCTCTTTCCCATGTACATTCATAGCATCTTTGTCAAGTCAGTTGGCTATAATAGTACATGTCAGTTTACTTCTAAGATGTTTATTTTGTTCTTCTGGCTTCTGTGTCTTTTTTTCTCTCTCTCTCTCATCAGTAACACGGTGAGAATTCTCCTGCAAGAAAGTGAATACGCCCAGTTCTTAGGAATGAGATTTTGTTGTTGTTGTTTACTTTTTGAGATAGGGTTTCTCTGTGTAATCACTCTGGCTGTCCTGGAACTCGCTTTGCAGACCAGACTGGTCTTGAATCCACAGAGATCTGCCTGCCCTTTCTCCCAAGTGCTGGAATTAAAGGCGTGCACCACCACAGCCTGACTAAAGGAGGTTATTTCTTAAAGAGACAAATGGATGCTTAGCAGCAGCACACTGAACACTGAAGGATCCTGAGAAAGGACACACAATTCATACTTATGAATTGTACTCACCAGCTTCCTCAGCCACAATGAAAGACTCAGGTGTCCGTTCGGGGAGTGGAGGAGGAATTTCATCATCTAGCCTCAGAGAAGTTGCTGTCCAAATAACGGAAATGTAATCAAATTTTTTTTTATGAGAACAAAGGAGATCCTTACATTCCAATCTAATCCTAAACACAAATTTAATAGATTTGTATTTGCTTACTTTGGGAAAAAAATAAATTTGTCCTTAGGTAAAAACTTTTTGTTCTTTGAAATTCTTTACTGGGTTTAAAGGTTTAAATGTCCCCAAATATTTTGATGGAGTCACTGTTAGGATGGTTTCCTTTTGTTTTCTATAGACTTCACAATAGGACACTTTAATCAGCTAAACATCCATTTACCCAGAGGTAAAAAGATCCTGTACAGAATCCAAAATATGTATGTTTATTATAGAAATAGTCCATCAAAAAAGTAGAAAATTCTGGGAATAGGAGTCGACAGAGATCTAGGGCAGGCTCAAAAGCCTACAGGGTTTTCTGTTTAATTAAAAAAAAAAAATCAGAATTTGTGCAGAACATTTACATGCTATTATAAGAAACTGCCACCAGATGGCAGACATGTCCATTTTGCTACAATATGAAAATTACTTGTTTTTGATGCTCTAAGGAGTTTAAAGCATGATGGTACTCAGGAGGCAGAGGCCAGCCTCTCTGAGTTCAAGGCCAGCCTGGTCTACAAAGCTACACAGAGAAACTCTGTCTCGAAAAAACAAAAAAACAAAAAAAAAAGAAGGAAGGAAGGAAGGGAGGAAGGGCAAAAAGAAAACAAAGAAACAAACCATGGTGGTTATTTATAAAAAGAAAACATCAGATGGAGGGGTGCCTCAGCGGGTGAATGAATCACTTGCTACTAAGCTTGACCACCTGAGTTCAATCCCCAGAACCCACATGGTAGAAGGAGAAAACTCACTCCTTCAGCTCCTGCAAAGGGATTCTCTGACACACCCACACACACACAAGAAAACAAAATTCCTTACATTTTAAATATAACCAAACTGTAAAAGAATTGGTCAAAAGAAGAACCTTCTCAGACCTAGATAAAATAGTTTTTTTGTAACAAATGATTTACTCATCTACCAAATTTGCTAGGTTTTCATAGCACATAGCACAAGAGTTCAAAGCCATTCTTGTTCATGTAGAGAATTTGAGGCCAGCCTGGGGACATGAGACCCTGTTTGAAAAAACCAAAACAGGAAAAACAAACATAAAAAACCCAAAACAAACAAACAAAACTCAGGGCTGGAGAGATGGTTCGGTAGGTAAGACTTCACTATGTTCAGATCCCCAGCACCCACATAAAAAGCCTGAGTGGCCATTTGTGCCTGTAAGCCCAGCACTGGGGGGAAGGGGGCAGAAACAAGGGCTTGCTATTCTCCAGCCTGGGCTATGGCAGTGAAAGGCAAGCTCCGAGTTCAGTGAGAAACATCTTAGGGTCATAAGGTCGAGAGTGCTAGAGCAGTTCACCTGAGATCTTCATCTGACCTCCACAAGTGGACCTACACAGGTGTGCACCTACACACAAACACACAAGCATGCCATACACACAGAGAGAAGGAAAGAGAGAAACTAATCCCCACAGTTGAGAGTCTGAGGCAGGACTGCTCTGAGTTCTGCATCAGCCTGGTCTCCATGAGCTCTAGGCTGGTTTCAGTAAGAAGACCCTATCTAAATCAAGAAAAGAGGGACCAAATACAGGTTAGGGCTATCCCTCCATGATAGAGCTCTTTCCTGACTGGCTAGATTCAAGCCTCATGACTTCAAAAAGGGGAAAAAGAAAACAGCAACCAATAATGTTATAGAGCAAAGGTTTTTTTGTAATTTCTAAGTAATGTTCTTTATGGATTATCTGGCAATATGCCTAAGCAAATTAAACTTGTTCTTCATTTCCTTCATCTTCTACATCAAGTTATTAGGGTCTGGGCTTAAACACCTGCCTGACATGCATGGACACCAGGTTCAATCCCCTTCACTAAAAGGAAGAAAAGGGAAAAGAAAAATCACATCATATAATAATCTCTAATAGTTCACTATTACTTTCTCACAACTCAGTTAAACAAAACAGTATGCTTGCTATGTAAAATCTAGAATTATAAGTATGAAAATTGTGTTAAAAGATTTTAAAAAGTCACACAATACTAAGCAAATATTCTCATCTACTAAGATAAGTACAGGAAATCAGGTCTTACCCTTCCCACTCCCACAGGAAAAGGATTCAATGCTTAGCAATGTGTTCAACTCATTACAGTCACATAAGTGTGTAACAAATATATCTGAGTGTCTGTGCAGTGTTGTTGACCAGTTTGCCCTCTGTACTTGGGAAACAGTTTCTGTATGTTAAAGGTAGATTGAGGGCTATTGATAAACAAGTCTGAGGATGGCCATGTTAGAAGCCTTCCTGTTGGCATAGATATGTCCGTAGACATTACGGCCTCACTGCTGTTGTCTTCAATTTAGTACACCATCAAAACACTCTTAGAACTTACTTCTTTGAGGAGAAAAGGAAAGAATAAAAAGAAGCAGAGGGGGAGAAGGGTTAGAATGAGAAGAAACCAAAGTATTTAATGGAAACAAGGCAAAGTCCAAAACCTTATACAAATTTTAGAACATAGCTTACCTTCCTTAGCTGTCTCTTGGTTTAATGTTAGGGGAAAACTGGCCACAGGGCTTGACATTAAAGAATCATGTGAATTACAGTAAGAGAGGGGGGTTGTAGGAGAGACTGGCAACAGAGCACAAGGAAAAGTTGCTCCATCCTGATTCTCAGGGAGGTCAAAAGACATCTTAGAATCAGCACTATTTGGAGGTGACGATGGAAAATACGGGTCTTCTACTAAAGACATGCAAGAACGCACTCTAAAAGTGTTGGGGCTATGCTGTGGTACACAAGGGATATCACATGTCTGCTGCTCAGAGGCACGCGGCAGTGAATAATTCAGTTCTTCCGAAGAAACATGGACCACTTTTTGTGCCTGAAGCTCCACAAGACAAGGCTCATGCAGTTGAGATTCCAAGAACAAAGAACAGTCTTCCATGTCCAACTCATGTGTTTTTCTCTGCTGAATCAGTTCAAAAGGAGTTGATTTGGTCCGAATCACTGGAGTTCTTGAATTGCGACACCTGTCTGCTGTATTAATAGGCGGAGCGCCAGGACAGGACCCACACAAAATGGAACCGAAATCCAGACTTTGGTATTTCTGAAGGGGCTCTCCCACGATTGGAGAGGCCTTTGCCTGCCCTTCCCTGGTTATGACAGCCTTGTTGTTACACCCACAGTTTAGCTCTAAGAAGTCAAAAGAAGGGCTTGATTTAGCCGAGCGCAAAACGAAGTCTTTGGCACTTATTTCAGAAATCCTATCAACGGAAGAAGTGTCTGCGCTTTCTGCTTGAACCCTTTGTTCGCTCTGTTGCTTTGTCGTTTTTGCATCTTTTGTGGCGCTGAAACAAAGGAGAAAATGATGATGCCATACTGGAACGAGGTCTCTTCCCAGTAGCACAGCGAAGTAGAAATTGAGATTTCATTCCTTAGGCACAAATAGTCAACATCTAGATATGCAAAATTTACTCACTTTTTTGGTAAATCCGGAGAACAAGAGTCAGGAACTGAAGATTCTGCTTCAATCTTTAAGAGAAATGTCAAGAGTTCTTTTTTGTTTGATTGGTTGGTTTGTCTTATTTTTTTAATGAAGCAATTCAATACAATATTTTCATATTTGAAGACTAGGAAGTAATGTCCCCCACCCCCTCCCAACACATACACACAAGGCACAAGGACTATCATGGAAAAGAAGACAGAAAGATCAGGGAGGATTGGACTGAAACTGTGTGTTTTGGACATGATAAGACCACTGCATTCATGAAATCAAGCCAGCAGTCTTGTCTGCACCAGACCTCCAAAAAATTCAAGCCGGTCAACATTCCAGCATTGAAGTGGGGATGGGCTCAATATTACCCACCCCTAGCTGAGTTGCTATAGACAGTTAATGGTTTGGGGGGAAGGGAAAGTTGGGCTTTATTCAGGGTATAGCTCCTGGTAGGTCAACTTGCTCCAGTGGTTGGTCCCACACCCATGTACATGAGCAGTACAAATTAGAGTTGGTGGGTTACTTGTTATAAAAGAGGACATTCCGGGCTGAAGAGGTAGCTCAGGGGTTAAGAGCACTGGCTCTTCTTCTAGAGGCCATGAGTTTAATTCTCAGCAACCACATGGTGGCTCACAACCATTTATAATAAGATCCGGTGCCCTCTTCTAGCATTCAGGCAAACATGCAGGTAGAATGCTGTATATATAATAAATGAATAAAATCTTTTTTTAAAAAAGAGGACATGAAGTTAAGAAGGGATAGAGAAATAGGTGGTAGTACTGGGAAAAATTAGGGGGAGAAGAAGGGTTAAATGTGATCAAAATATATTGTAATAAATTCTTTTAAATTAATAAAAATGTCAGCGTAAATATAAAGCAGTATGTTTATTTAGCTTGGATAGGTTAGTATAAAATAAATGACATATTTGTCTGAAAAAGAAAGATCCCAACTGAACAGCCTAACTTTACATTTTAAGGAACTAGATGTGTGTGGGAGGGTGATTTAAATAAATCCCAAACTTTGCAGCAGCAAGGAATATTAAAGATTAGAGCAGAGATAAATGAAATAGAGAACAAGAAAAATGGAAAACTGAACAAATTCAAAAGATCAACAAAATTGATAAGCCTTTAGCTACATTAAGGGGGGAAAATTGCCAGGTGGCAGTGGTGCATGCCTTTAATCCTAGCACTCCGGAGTCAGTGGCAGGAGGATCTTGTGAGTTCCAGGCCAGCTTGATCTAGAGAGTGAGTTCCAGGCCAGCTAGGGCTATACAGAGAAACCCTGTCTCAAAAAAAAAAAAAAAATTCAAAGTATTAATCAAAAGTGAAAGTGCAGGGACTGAATAGATAGCACATTTGAAGTACTTATGCTCAATTCCCAGAACAGGCTACTCAAAAAAAAAAAAAAAAAAAAAAATTTGGCATAGTGTTAACACCTGTAATCCCAATATTAGAGAGGTGGAGATAAAGGACCCCTGGAGCTTCCTGGTACTTAGCCTATCCTAATTAGTGCCTCCTGTATTCCAGTGAGCAACTGGATCTCAAAAATTAAGGTTGATGGCTCCTGAAGAATGATACCCAAAGTTAACCTCTGGCCTTCACATGTATACATGCTCACACATCTACACATGTATCCTCACACACAAATTAAAATGTGGATATTATTACCAATCTTGTGGAAACAAAAAGAACTAAAATACTATGAACAGTTGCATAGAAGTATCACATATATTGATTGCATGCTAACAAATTGGATAACCTAGATAAAATAGTTACGATCTTAGAGATACCCACCCTACCAAAACTGGTTAAGGAAGAAATAAAAAATCTAAATATAATTCAACTATTAAGGTGATTGAATCAATAATCGAAACTAAAGAGTCTCTGGGTTCAATCCCCAGGACTAGGTGGGGGATAGATAAATGTTAGCAAGAATATAGAATAAGGGCCTGATTTTACTGTTGATGGAAATGTGAACTAGTATATGTATTATGAAAAATCAGTATGAAGATCCCTCAAAAAATTAAAAACACAACTACTATATAATTTGTCAGTTTAACTTCTGGCACTTCTAGAGGAAATAAAATCAATGTAGTGTACTCATACGTTTATTGTGGCATATTTCCAATAGACAAGTTATGGAGTCAAACCAAGTATCCATCCATAGATAAATGGGTATAGAAAATGTGGCATATATTCGCACGCTATTACTATTGCTCCTTTTAAAAATAAGGAAATAATGGCCTGGGAGAGGACCTGTGTTTGGACCCCCAGCAATCACATAACAGCCAAGTATGATAGACCTATAGCCCCAATATTGAAGGCAAGAGACCAGTAGACCCAAGAGAGAGAGGGTTTGCTGACTAGGCAGTCTAATCAAAGCAAAGATCTAGAATTTCACTGAGGAAGACATCCTGATGTTAACCTCTGGCCTCTACATGCTTTGCACTGCTAAGTGCACACACACACAGACACACACACACACACACACACACACACACACACACACACACCCAGTGACAGGTATGGAGACACAGGGTTATTATGGAAGCTACTTAGGAGGCTGAGGCAAGAGGATCATAAGTCCAAGACCATTATGGACAACTTAGCAAAACCCTGTCTCAAAATTAAAAGTTGAAAACCAGAGCTGTTGATAAAGCTCAGGGCTAAAGCAATTGCCAAGCATTCATAAGGCCCTTTGTTCAATTCTAAGTACCATTAAAAAATAATAAGAGGGGTCTGAAAAGATGATTAAGACAACTGTCTGCTCTTCCAGAGGTTCTGAGTTCAATTCCCAGCAATGACATGGTGGTTCACAACCATCTATAGTGGGATCCGATGCCCTCTTCTGGCATAAAATAAATAAATAAATCTTTAAAGAAAAATAGTAAGGATATTTTGTTAATTTGTCAACATGGATGTACCTAGAGGACATTATGCTAAGTAAAATAAGCTAAACATGGAAAGACAAATACTGTATAATTCCTATATAGATTCTAAAGTCATGCAAAGTCATAAACACATAGAGTAGAATGGTAACTACAGAGACTAGCAAGAGGGAGGCTTTGAGGCAATGTTGATCAACAGATACAAAAACACAACTATATAAAAAGAATAAATTCAAGAGGTTTACTATAAAATGTAATGACTAAAGTTAATAATAAGGTTTTATGTATTAAAACTGCATAGATATAGGTCTTAAGTTATAAGTATATAAAGTAATGAATATGTTAATTAGCTTGATTTTTTTTTTTTTGCTAAGTTTTGTTAAGTTATCCAGACTGGTCTTGAACTTATTTTGTTTGAATACAAACCTTAAAACATCATATTGTATATTATAAATATATTCAGTTTGTTTTGTTTTGTTGTATTTTGAGACAGAGTCTCGCTGTGTAGCCCTGGCTAGCCTAGAACTCTCCAAGCTGGCCTCCAAACTCACAGAGATCTGCCTGCCTCTGTCTCTGGCTCATTTAAAAAAAAAATTGAGATGTATGCTTGCTATAAAGAAAGACAGATGGGACCTGTAAAAGCGCTCACCTATGAATTTATAAATTTAACTAATTTAACCTAAAACTTGGGTTCAAAACAAATGCTTGCTATGACAGACTGGGAAGACCCCCCTGTGGAAGGCCTCACCCTCCCTGGGGAGCAGAAAGGGTATGGGGATAGGTAGGGTGTTAGTTGAGGGGGCAGGGGAGGAGAGGAGGGAGAGGAACTGGAATTGACATGTAAAACAATCTTGTTTCTAATTCAAATAAAAAAAATTCAACCCCCCCCAAATAAACCACATGCTTGCCCTAATTAAATTCAGCTTCTAAATTTAGCTGAAAATTACATGTAATAAGCTAACCAAGATATAAATTTTCTAAGTTAAACCACCCCAAATTAATTTGTCCTCCACAGGAGGTTTTTTCAAAGCCTTATAAAATCCTGACATTCCAATCCAGTTGTGACTATACATAAGCCCTACAAATAATCTGAGATACTTTGGCCAAAAACATATGAAAAATAATATATAATTTATTTTTAAATATAGTTTCAACATTACCTCTCTTCCAGAGGGTTCATCTCCAATAATATCCATATGTCTCTTAAATAGTTCTAACACAGCATTGTAGACCAGTTCATATTGTTCCTGGAGAGTATCACAAGCCAGGCAAAAGAAGAAAACAAAAACATCAGGTGAATTACAGTAACTAATTTCAAAATAGGAACACCTATCAACACACATTACTAAACTCTATGTCACTATATGAGCTCTATGTTGAGTGACTCATTGCAAATTTGTATACACTTTTAGGCTAGAGTTTTACATAACCCTAGCTAACATGTAAGGATTTAATGCCATGTTTCTTTCATATTCTAACCCTACTTTTTACCTTTCATCTCTCTGTTTTCTTTGCTAGCATGCTTTGTGTATATGTTATCCTAGATGACTTTTGAGTAAATCACCTTCATTTATGGAAAAAAATCAGGTCATGGGTGGTACATGAATTGATAGCTTCAATATGTATTCTCTAATTAGACCATCACAATTGCTCTATGAAGTAGGAAGGCTATTATACCTGTTTACAGCCACTCAGAAGTAATTCTTGGTATGTGGATTACAAACTGAACCTTCTAACTTAGTTTAGTGTATTTAGATCAAGTTGCTGAAATTTTGTCTTAGTATACAAACGAAAAGTAAACAAGCCACTGAATAAAAGTTAGAAATCTGTGGTTACAAAAGGATTCAATGTAGAGAAGTAAGACCTCTACTCTTACCATATAGGTTTACGGCTTTTTAATACTTCATTTTGGCCTTTCTTCTTCCTGAAGTACTTCCTCTGATACTTTACACAATCCCAAACAAATTAAGGGCATTTCCAAAAGGTATTTTTAGCAATAGAACAATGTAGCATCTATATCACCCAGCACAGTTTTGGAATGCCGTAATTTTTTAAAGACAGAAAACGTAGCCAACAATTGTGGTTCACTTCTATAAACTCAGCACTCAGGAAGCTGAAGCAGAAAGATTGCTGCTACTTCAAGGCCAGCTGGTCCCTCAATATTAAATTCTAAGCCAGACTGGGGTATAAGGTAAGACCCTGTCAGAGAGAGAGAGACAGAAATAAACAGAGACAGAGAGTGCGTGAGAATGGGAATCAAACAGGAAGCATCAGAAGGATCAGCTACAAGCGTTAGGTTTGTTTAGCTGGTTATTAACCATGCTGAAGTACAAGAGCTTCCTCACTTCCCTCCAAACTCCTAAACTAGGCCAGACGGAAATGGATTTTTCCGAAATGGGGTATGTTTATTAATTTAACACAGAAATTCATGTAACAAGGCTGTGTGCTTCCTGGTGTCTCTGTGTATTTATATGCATTGCCTTCCTTTCCAGCCTGACAGCATTAAGCAAGCCAGGGCTTCCATTTCACATAAACTTTCCCCTCATAGGTTGAATATAGAAAACACCTACAGACAACACACAAAAATTTATTTTTTCCACAACCTGTTCATGGAAAACCTGTGTGGGCCAAACAGATATTTTTGTGTTAATAGCTCTTCATTTTTTCCCTTCATTCACAACTTGTACATTAAAATATCTAAACTGCCATTTTAAACTGCTTTATATCTAAACTTGAGTACAAGTTCATTTGCAAGGGATTTGAAACACTTCAAGGTCTTTCTACTTAAAGATAATTCTTAAAAATATATACAAAAATGTCTGATACATAATAAATATCAATAAAAACTTGAATGCATGAGTGAATTAATTAGTGGATACGTGGTAAGTTTTGTGTTAAAGATGTATAAATGTATAAAGTTGAGTGAAGTTATTGGTGTATAAATATATGTGAAATTAATACCATAGACAATAAGAGAGTTGGGCTTAGAATAAAAAGGAAGACTATTCCTAGTGAAATGAACAAATGTGGGCAGTCTAACATAGGATCAAAGGTTGTAGGACATAATATAGTCTAATTGAAATTCTGTTTTTAAAGTGTGCCTATAGACAAGGGAACTATAGGGAAATGATAATAGTCAGTCAACATGATACAGGCATATGCTTATTCTAATTTCATTTTTCATTGCTTCATAACATAGAAAATATATCATTTCTTTAAGTAGAAATGGCAAATCCCTGATTTTCTGTGGCTTTATAGATTTATAACTACAAAATTTTTAGTTACTTATGACTCATAACATTGGCCAGTTCCAGGTGGATCTCTGTGAGTTCGAGGCCAGCCTGGTCTCCAGAGCGAGTACCAGGACAGGCTCCAAAGCTACACAGAGAAACCCTGTCTCGAAAAACCAAAAACCAAAAACAAACAAAACAAAAACATTGGTCAGTTCTTTCTAATATGTCAAACTCATTAATTTTTTTCAATTTCCTTCGTAAGCAAGAAATAATATTATAGGTAGTAAAATATGAGGAATGAAAATAATCTGATCCAGGACAAATGGTACAGGAAAAGAATTGGGATATTTGGAACTAGAGAAAAACACCTAGTAAATTAGTCTCACCCCTGGATACCCAGCAGCTTTTTGATGTGTCACTATAAACATAGACATGCAGCAAGATGCAGACACACAACTGCAATCTGTTCACCATAGTCCATACCTGAGTTTGAACTAGCGAAGGCCTCTGTGTTCGCATTTCCTGGATCAAACTAAAAACACTGAAGTTCTCAGGAACTATCTGTCAAATCAAAGAAAAAATACTTTATTTATTTTTTGCTAACAAATCATGTCACTTTCTCAATCTCATACTCCTGTGACACCTATTCTTCTAATATTGAAAAACACCAAGAAAAGAATGCCTTTGTCCTCTCTCCTTCCTTCCCTCTCTTTATTTCTTTCTGACAGGGTTTCATTTAGCCCAAGCTGCCCTTAGACTTGCTGTCTAACCAAGGATAACCTTCAGCTTCTTCTACCTTCCAAGTGCTAAGATTACAGGTATGTGCCCCCAAACCCATGTTCCAGGATTATACGAGTTTAGACAGATCAACTGTAAAGCATTGTTATCCAATCACTCTACCAATGGAACTATATCCCTAGCCCCAAGAATGTACTAAAAAATGTGTTTTTATTTTATGTGTATGAGTGTTTACACATAAATGCACCACTTGGGTGCCTGGTACCCACAAAGGGCAGAAGAGAGCATTGGATCCCTTAACCCTGAAGTCACTGATGATTGTGAATAGCCATGTGGTTTCTGGTAACCAAACCTCTGCTAGAACAGCAAGTACTCTTAACCCCTGAGCCATTGTCTTCAGCCCCAAGAATGCATTTTGAAAACCAATAGCTTCTTACCATTTTTGCCATCACTTAGAGCAGTGATCTCAACCTCCTTAATACTGTGACCCTTTAATACATGTTGTGGTGGTCCTCATGTTCTTCATATTGTCGTGACCCCTCCCCCAACCACAAAATTATTTTCATTGATTATAATGTAAATATCTGTTTTTTCTGATCTTAGACAGCCCCTGTGAGAGGATCATTTGACCCCAAAGTGATCATGACCTACAGGGTGAGAAAACCACTGACTCAGAGGCTGGTGTTGTCCCTAGAAAAGACTGATTAATGTAACTTAGGACAATCTTACATGGGTGATAAAATGTCTAGTACCATAAGGATAAGGCTCAATAGATAAGTCACCTGAGGTTTTGAGAAATAAAAGAAGTTAGAAAATCTAAAGCCCATATTTTAAACTTCTCATTTCCTAACAGACATAAAAACTGATTTCTAAGGTCAGAGAGATAACTCAGCAGCTAAAAGCACTGTCTCTTCCAGAGAACCTAGGTTCCATTCCCAGCATCTACTTGGCAGCTCTCAACTGTCTCTAATTATAGCTCCCATGAGCTGATGCTCTCTTCTGGTCTCTGGGCACCAGACACACAGATATACAGGCAGATATAATTACCCATTCACATAAAATGCTTAAATTTTTTTAAGTTGGCCAGGAATGGTGGCATATTTCTTTAATCTCAGTACACGGGAGGGGTGGGGAAGAAGTAGGTCAGATCTTTGAGTTCAAGGCCAGCCTGGTCCACAGAACAAGTTACAGGACAGCCAGGGCTATTCAGTGAAACCCTGTGTTGAAAAAATTTTTTTTTCCTAGAGCTGGAGAGATAGCTCAGTTGGTAAAGGGCACTCCATGCAAGCATGAGGACCTGAATTCAAATCCCCAACACCCACACAAAAGCCAGGCATGTCTGAAATCCCAGTTCTCTGGATGACAAATGGGTCACTAGCCAGCCAGCCTATCTAAATCAAGATTGAGTAGAGACACTGTCTCAAAAAAAAGATAGAAAAATTAAGAGACAGGAATATGAATCTCTGTTTTCCATATGCACACACACACACACACACACACACACACATCTAAGCATGCATTCATGCACACATCCATGCAAACACACACACTGGTTTCTAGACAACAGCACAAAGCTTGATTGTGGTAAGTTGAATCCATCTGCTAAAGCAGTTTGGGTAAAGCAAGGGGAAATAAGTAATTCAGGGCAGCAGTTCTCCAACTAGCATTTCTCAGAATCACCCAGAGGGCTTGTTGGTTCACACCCTCCAAACTTCCTAGATTCATCAGTGTGGCAGAAGTCTATAATTTATATTTTTAATAAATTCTCAGGTAATGTTGATCCTAGAGAATTGTCATGTTGGGGATCAAACTCAGGGCCTCCTCTCATAAAACAAGTACACTATTATTGAGCTACCACCTCTTCCCCTGGGACCACACTTTAAGAATCACCAACTGAGGAACTCATTTAATCATATAACAGAGTAGATTTATAAATGGCCCACTCTGTAAGAAAAGATGAGTTGTGATGATGCTCTGGAAAGTTGAAGTTGCATGCAGTGAGAAATAGGAAGTGTCTGCTGGGAAACTCACCCCATCTTTCAGCAACATGCGTGTATAATCAATAGCACAGATGACACCTGTCCTCCCGCAGCCGGCACTGAAACAGAAGATCACAGTAGCATGTGTACTTGTTGAGAAAGTTAACTGACAATAGTTGGAAAATTCCTTAGTAGATTGTAAGAGAGAGGAAATGAAACTTTTCAAGTCCTACCATGTCCCAGAGCATGTTTGTCATGCCACAGTGGACCTCAGACAGGTGTTGGCAACTTCTCACAGGAGTCCCCAGAATCATTGTTCATAAATAACTTAAAAGAAATTTTAGGTGTAGCAAAATGTCTCAGTGAGTAAAGGTTCTTATTGCCTTTTCCTAATGGCTTGAGTTTGATCCCAAGAACCCATACAGTGGAAGGAGACAACCAACTTCCCAAAGTTGTGTTTGGATCTCCACATATAGGCTGTGACAATATGTGCATGCGCACACACACACACACACACACACACACACACACACACACACACACACACACTAAATTTTAAAAGAAGTGATTTTAATGCATCAGTTGAATTTATACTAGATGGTTCAGATATTGACTTTTTCTTTGAATTGTACCCTAGCCAGAGCCCCATTTTGTTTGTTCAAAGTAGAAAGTTCATTCACTGCAGCATCTTACCTACAATGAACGCAAATGGGAACACAGTCATCTTCTTGGTAACAACGTATATCCCAGATGAGCTCAAGGATGGGGTCTATAGATGAAGGCACATCGTGGTCTGGCCAATTCTTATAATGAAACTGGTAAACAATTCTAGTTTTCTATTTTAAAAAAATAGCCAGATTAAAAGGAGAATTCAAGGTTAGGATTACACCTCATTCTACCAAAAGATTAATCTGATTAAGTTCCATTTATATCCTTTTTTCTTGCAATTTATTCTCCTTTCTTATATATAGCTCTCAAGCCTTATGAACATAATTAAAAGTAATAAGAGGATGTTTTCCGTTGTCTTATCCTTAATAGCTCCACCTACACAAGAGGAGGTAGATTTGAAAAGAGTCCAAACCAAATCTTCTTCAAATTAGCATATCTCAAATAGGTCACAGACATATTGTTATATTGAATCCCGTTGCCTTTAGCATGATGATCTAGGGCATCATCAGCTGTCATGTTGGTCCCTAATGTCTAGCCACTGTCCATAATACCTCTATTCATACTACCAAAATCATTTCTATGTGTGCTGTGGTGTGAAACAGGTTGGGAGCTGAATCTCTTATGAATGTGAAGACTTACTCAAGACATCAAAGGTCCTAACTCTCCCCATAACTGTACGCACAGCCTGAGTCACACACATACATGTTTACCTGTCTCATCTCAGCAAGCTCTCAACTTTATCATTCCTGTTCTATACTCACATTATTGAACTTGACTTTCAGAGTCCTGATTATATAATCAGATTTCTTTTTCTCAGCTTCCTAAGGAGAAGATTAAATTATTAGCAATTTCAAAGGCACGCTCTATAAAAAGTAGATCCTAGAGGCTTTGCTTAGCCATAACAGAAACGCATCATACTTACACAGAATATAGAAAAGGGGCCAAATTGCAGCTGTGTCTCTCCTGGCTCAGCCCAATAGCGCTCACACTTTTTCTGTTGCATAAAACAGAAGGTAATGATTTCCCTCCATATAATCTAATTTCTCCTGCAAGATGAAACCCACTCCCTCACTCAGAAGCAGCTCTCTGTCCCTCAGGTTAGGCAGAATTAACCTTCTTGGACTTTTAACTCCAGCAACATGATCAGGAATTTCCAAAGGATAAAAAACAGACATTAAAGGATGTCTGAATTATAAACTTCCTAGGAGTCCAAAAAAGTAGAAATGGTGATTGTTGACCTATTTTTAGCATCTCAAAAACCTGAAATTGTTGACTAAACCAGTTGCACTAGTTAAGTGCCAGATTCCCTCAGCTGTGACTAGAATTCCCAGCTCAGAATGGCCACAGTAAACTAGAGTAGCAAGGCCAGTCACACGTTTAGGGTTGAATTTCCTAGCACCACATCTAAAAATGAAAAGATGTGAAATGTATTTTAGCCCAATATACCAAAATATTTAACATGTAGTCAAGATACAACAGTACTATGCACTTGCCTTGTTATTGTAATAAATATCAAAAATCCTATGTACATTTTATATCACTCAAGTAAATGCTAAATTTTCATTGGAAATATTTTCATTTATAGCAAATCAAATTTTTATTTGAAAAAGTTTCACATACCCCCAAATCAATTTTTCAATAGCTGAAATGAAGGTTCGTTTTTTAGTTTTAAACCAATTAAAATAAAATTATTGAGTTCTTCCACCATGCAATCCCTAGCAAATGCTCAGTGGTCACATGCAACGGTGGCACAGGATGAGTCTCTAATGGGCAGTTAAAACATCTGATTATCAGGAAGGAAATGGTATTCTTTCCTCCTTTCTTCCTTTCTTTAACTTTATAGCACAGGAGCTACTGGGGTTCTTGGAGGTGAAACCCCCTATGGATCATGTGGTATCCCCAAATTGAGAACTAGGAAAATGGCATGGTTTTTCCTGGCCAGGCACACTTAAAGAAAGTTCTACAACCATTGATGCCTCCTCTACTTCACCTTCAGATCAACCAGTCCTGAAGAGCAACTCACCTTTCCCATTTCAAACTCCATACATGCCATGACAATGACCTGAAGGCATCAAACAGAAACGTAAACATCTACAGAGTTAGAGAAGACCATACTGCCCAAGTCCCACAGTCAGGAAGTATTAAGCATTGTTGTTTTGTTGACTTTGCTTTTTAACCCCAAAAGAAATGCTAGTGAATTAAGAGATGTTCTTATTCTTCCTTCTTTCTGTCTCCATTTCCCTGCTCCTTAGTCAGCACAATAAATTCTTGTTACCAAAAGAGCCTGTCAAGGTATCAACTTTCATTTTCTTGAACAGGAATACATTGTAATATTGATAAAAAGATACATGCCCTCTGAAATATCATCAAGCCATAAGAAAAGCACTGTTTTTAACAGCTGGGAACCCTCAGTCACATCCTGCATCCTGCCCCCTCTACTAAAGCACCAGAAGCAACTCTGCACTCACCAAGATACGGTATTCCCAAATCATCCTCCAGAAGTCCAGGACAGTTGTAGATAAAGGACCCTGGGTGGCAATATAAGCCCTGGGTCCATAGACACCCTAAAGGGGAACAGAAACCACATGAGGTAACTACAGGCAAGCATCTTCTCCTTAGTCTTCTCCCCATCCCTGTTTTAGGTGCGCAGAAAAACATGGAATGTTTTATTTCCTCTCCGACTACCTTAATAAAGTTGGCATTGATATAGCTGGAATCCTCATCAGAAGTTATCAGAGACAGCTCCACCAGGCTATGATCATCTAGAATGCAAGAGAAAGGTACAGTGTAACTGAGAAGTCCTACATAGAGGGTCAAGTTAGGTCTCAAGAGTGGTGTTTGCTAAAAGTCTTTGATAAGTGAACAAGTAATTAAATGGGTGAATTTACTTTTATAGTCATAAATACTACAACTAATCTGTCAGTGTCATATTCCAAGATTAAGGACAAGTACTTGGTTAAAAAGTGGAGTGGTGTCTAAAATTGGAAGTAGAAGTTTACAGGAAGAAGTGAAACTTACAGGGCAAAATATCCTTGTATCTGTTTTTCTTGATATTCTTGGGCCTCTGAGCCACAGTTGTAGGGTATGTTTTGTCTGCCTTATACTTTGTAGATTGTCTTTTCAGCTTCTGTAATACAATTCCAAGAAAAATTTTTTCCAAAGAAAGAGATAGGGGGCCTGGGAAAGCAGGTCATTTGGTAAAGTAAATACTCTCTTGCAAGCAGGAGAACCTGAGTTTGATTCCCAGAACCCACATAAAGCCAAGTGTGGGCTGAGATTGGTGGCCGATGCCTTTAACCCTATTATTTGGAAGACATAGGCAGACAGATCTTTGTGAGTTAGAGGCTGGACTGGTCTACAGAGTGAGTTCCATGCCAGCCAGGGAAACATAGAAAGACCTTGTCTCAAAGATATAAATAAATATTTTTTTTAAAAAAGCCAGGTGTAGTGCCTCAAATTTACAAATTTGCTGGAGAGTTAGAAGCAGGTGGATTCCTGGGGCTCACTGGCCAACCAGTTTAGCCTAATTAGCAAGCCCCAGATCCAGGGGATTGACCTTGTCTCACAAAACAAAGTAGATGACTCCTAAGGAAAGACATCTGAGGTTCTTCTCTGGTCTCTATATATCTCCATGTACAACCAAAAATACACGTGCACCACAAATAGGAGTAAGCCCATGTGCATGTGTGTGCACTCACAGGCATGCACATACACACACACACACACACACACACACACACACACGTACATACATACATACATACATACATGCACACACACATGTACACACACACATGTACACATGCACGAACACACACATGTACATATATACATGCACACACACATGTACACATACACACACACATGCACACATACACGCACACACACAAGTAGGATAAGATGCTAACTCTAGATAGCTGTCCTTCACTTTTCAGACATTCTACCTCAACTCTTTTCGCAGCCTCGGGGGCTAAACTCTTTCAGGACAGGAAACAAGGATGATACAGTTCAGTGACTTTGGAGAAGTGAAAAGATCACACTGCAGCTGAGTCACAGACAGTTAAGACTTAAATCTGAAACTGCTATTCAAGTAACCAAATAACTTCTGAAAGTGATCTGTGTGTGTGCTCCACCCAAGGAACAGATACCACGGAGTATGATTTATTTTCTTTATAGGGTCTGTTTGATGTCAACCGGAAAATTATTAATTCCACTCATCTTTTTTACACTCCAGATCACCTTTTCTAAGTAGAAATGGAACTTGAGTTAAATACACTCTGTTTATAGCTGCCAACATTTCAGAGATTTCAGTTTCAAAGCATTTGTATGTGACTCAAACTTTAAGCCAACTCTTGCAGCAAGTAATGCCATAAACAGAATCATATTCTCTCTGTAGAATATGATCTGAGATAGGCAGGGGCTATTAATGCAGCTGGACAAGAGTGCTTATGATGTCAGTGGGGGCAGGGGAGGAGGGGAGGGAGAAGGAACTGGGACTGACATGTAAAACAAGCTTGTTTCTAATTCAAATTTTAAAAAATGGAAAAAAAAGAGTACTTATGATAATTCCTTAAGCTTATTCCTATATTTTTTTTTTTTTTAGTGTTACACCGTAAACCCAAATGTGAGGACAGAAATGGTAAGATAATTTCTCATCAGATCCTTGTCTAGAATTAATGTAGTCCTAAATTTCATTTCCTTTATACTTAAAAAATAAAAATATGTGTACTAGGTCTGAATTTTGTGAGACCTAACCAATTTGCAAAAGAAGACAGGGAGAAGTACCTCTGATGATGAATGAAAGTGTTTAGTGAATTAAAATGATCTTCATTATTTCCATACTACTTAACAGAGAATTGGTCACACAGGGGTATTAGACACCTCCCAGCAGATAGATACCTCAGCATCCACTAGGTCTTATTCTCTAGCTTCTGTTTGGAAATGTCTTCTTTCCTTGGCCCTCATCTGTGTGCATTTTCTTGTTTCTACTCTTTCTTTGACTCATTGTGACGGCTAATTTTATGTCAACTTGGCACAAGCTGTAGTCATCTGAAAAGAGGGTACCTCGATTGAAAAAACAATGCCTCCATAAGATCTGACTGTAGGGCATTTTCTTAATTAGTGATTGATGCCATCCTTGGGGTGGTGGTCTTGGTTTTTATAAGAAAGCAGGCTGAGCAAGCCATTAGGAGCAAGCCAGTAAGCAGCACCCTCCATGGCCTCTGCCTCAGCTCCTGTTTTAGTTCCTGTCCTGGCTTCCTTCAGTGATGGACTATGATGTGAAAGTGTAAGCGAAATATACCCTTTCCTCCCCAACTTGTTTTTGCTTGTGGTGTTTCAACATGGCAATAATAAAACTAACTAGGATACATCATTCCCAGTTGCCCTTATTTCTTTCTGGTTCTCTGTTCTCTGATTTCTAACAAAGAAATACCCAATACACAAACTTTAAAAATCTTTGATTTTCTGCTGTTCTCTTGATATGCCTCCTTCAGAGCCATAAACTCTTAAAGAGATCATATAAGAATTTGATGATTTATTTAATTTACCAAAATTTTATTATATTTCCAGCATCACTTGGATATGTCTCAAACGTCTATACTAAGATTTCCGTTTCAAATTACCATCCAGGTCCTAGAAATTTCCATTTCAATATCTTATTGCATTTTCGGACTCAAGACATTTGTAACTAAAAGCATCACTATCCCACTTGTAAACGCTGATGGAAATATCTTTATTCCAAGCAGTCCCATTCTGGGAAACTAAGAAGGACTTTAGGTTCCTCCTTCCCACAATTCCCACCTCAGATACAGTTAGCAAGTTCATTCAATTGGTTCTTCCCATGCAAGGTTTGTATCAGATTTCCTTCCTGCGATTTGGCTATGATGACCCCCCCCCTCCTAAAAGACTCATGGGTTAAAGTCTTGCTTGCCAGCTGATGTTCTTTGAGGAAATATTGGATTCTGAAGGCTGTGACCTAGTCAGTGAATTAAGCCCTTGATGAATTCAGAATATGATTGTATTACTGTAAGGGAGGGCTTAACTTAAGGATATAAGCCATGGGGACATGCTCTGGAAAGATCTGTCTTGCCCCATCCCCTTTCTGTTGCTCTATGTCTCTTTGTCTCTGGGGACCCATGAGGTGAGCAGCTTTGCTCCACTGCACCCCCACTGTTATGCTCTTCTACCTCACCACAGGCCTACAGCAATGGGGCCAAGCAACTGTGGACTGGAGCTGAGTCAAAAAAGAAAAAAATGTTTCCTCCCTTAAACATACGACGTATCATTGCAGTGATATAAAACCCATTAGACTCTTTCCCTTCAAGCTTCAACTCCTATAATTTCTCCTTATCTTCACACTGTTTTTTTTTCTTCATTCAAATTTATTGGGTGTAATTATATCAATTAATTGAATTTATGCTTAATCTTTCCAATGCTGATTAAAGTAACTTCAGTAAATCCTTTTTACCCCTTGGAAAATAAGTTCCAAACTCCTTAGCTAAGGGTCCCCCAAGTTAGAACTCAAGTTGAATATATTTCCCTGAGCTTTCCAATTAAGTCTCTAAAGACAGTTTCTAGATTCTTTCAAGATCTCACAAACCGGTGTCATCGTGTGAAATACAACTTCTTTGAAACTAAGCCGATCCTTTTGTTGTTCATAAATGTTAGGAGTCCTCGGCACTGCTTTTACATTTCACAGCCATAGCTATGGTCTATTTTGACCCACAGAATGAAGAGTAAGAAACGTATCTCAAGTGAGAGCAACAACAACCAAAATATTGAGAGGGCTGTGATTAGTACTATATAATTGTTTATATTTCATACAATGATCACACACCAGTGACGAAGACGCTTATATTTCATACACTGCTCACACACCAGTGATGAAAATGTACCATTTTGTGCAGCTTAATTGAGAAGACTTCTTAAGTGCCTTTTAAATGAAGGAGGAAAGGGGACTTCAAAATAAAGACATAACAGACATTATCCCAGCACTCAGTTCGAGGCCAGCCTGGTATACATAGCAAGTTTCAGGTGAGCCAGGGCTACATGGAGAGACACTGCCTAAAGCAACAAAACCTAGCACAGAGAAGAGAGAGACAGGAAAGAGGTGTGGTAATAAAAAATTGTGATCCAACAAATTATCCAAATCCACCATTGGCTCAGAGGGTCAGATGTAGGAATCTACGCCTTTAATTGAAGGAAGAACATGTGGGTCTCTGTGAATTTGAGGACTGCTTGGTCTACATACTGAGTTCTAGATCAGCCAGGGCTACACAGTGATCCTGTTTAAAAACAATTTTTTAAAATTGTTTCAGGGGAATTTGGTGGCTAAGTCAGTCTTCAAGGAGAAGGAGGAAAGTGAAGAGCTAAAACTTCAGAACACCACTATCAAATAGGATTTAATTAAAGTGATATTTTTCCAAATAGAGTAACATAATAAATAATTATAACAACTCAGTGTATCAGAATATAAACTCTTTCTCTGGGCTCCACAAGCACCAGTATGTATTGCTCCAGTGACTATTCTTTTATTTCTGGGTTTGATAAGACACAGGAAACCTACTGGATCCAGACCAGGAACACAGGCAGTTCTTGAATCCTGGTTGTGCACCATTGTTAGAATTCCTATGGATTTCAGAGTTGGACTTGGCAGGAGATGCTAAACAGCATATTTTCTCACTAAGATGAATATGTTAATGGACTAGCTTGGGATTTTAATTAAGAACATGACACAGGACATCTCAAACACCATACTTCCAGTGGGCTGGTAAGATTGATTAGCAGGTAAAGGCGCCTATGGCCTAGCCTGAAGCCTGAGTTTAATCTCCAGGATCTACATGACAGAAGGAGAGAAGAGACTCCTGCAAGTTGTGTTCTCACCTCCAGATGCCAGCCCCTCCCCCAAATAAACGTAATTTTAAAACTTGCAAAAGTACTTCCACTGAAGTACCACTCACTTCTCATCTCTCTCTGCTCTTACGCTCCTTCAGGATGATCCGTCTTTATGTTGCCAGAAGTTTTCTGACTGTCCTGAAGAGTCCCAAAACAAGTCTTTCTAGAAGTTTCCAGAGTTAGTACAACCTCTTTGTTGTACTAATTTTATTTGGTGTTGCTTTTTAAAAG